AACATTAAAATAAAAACTAAAAATAAGACTTATCATAAAAAATTACTTAAACCACAACGTATTGTTTCGGGTCAGAATGCACCTGTACCTTATCCTTTACGCTCTAGGATTAGTCCAGACGCTAGAAATAAAAGAAATAAAAAACCCAATATTACCCGTACAATTAGGAAAATCTAAAATAATAACTAATAAGCATACCTTTATATACCATTTAAACCTTACTAACCCTGAAAAATCCCTAAATCAAATTGCTAATACCCTTTTAGTTTTAGATACTATAATATTAGTACACAAATAGATAATCACCTTTCTATATTTTTAAAACAAAAAATTATTAACGCAATGTCGTTAACCGACATTATTAGAAATAAAATTAAAATATTTACTCCTCACAATATAGTCAAAAAAAGATTAATTAATGGTGTAGGTAAAGTACAAAAATGGCTATTTGGTACATTAGATTCTGAAGATGAAAAATTCATCTCAAATTATTTACAAAATTTGGATGTGAATGAACAAAAAATTTATAATACTATAAATAATCAACAAACTGTTCTCAAGCAGATTTCGAACACGTATAGCTCTCACTTTAAAGAATTAAATGATAATCAAATCATCCTAGAAAATCAAGATAAATATCTGTCAAAAGAAGTTAATGGATTTATAAATTTAGAACAAGCTTTTTCCTTTTCGAATATCATAGATAATTTACTAATGCAACTTCACTCTATTCAGTATATAGTTATTAACTTAGAAATTGCAATCTCCTTTGCTAGATTGAATATTCTTCATAACTCAATTATCAATCCAGAACAATTAAAATTATTAATTAATAAACTTGAAAATATTTATCGACCAGAACAAATACCTACGTTAAAAGAATTATTAAATTACTATTTACTATATACTACTATAATTGTCCAAGACAAAATAATTTTATTTAAAATTCACATACCCATTGTATCTTCCCAGTTTAAATTGTTCCGCCTCTATCCTATCCCAATAAAAAATAAGACCATTATTCCTGAACAACCTTACCTTTTGCTCAATACAAGAGACTTTTGGACAACATCGCAACAATGTCCTGAAATAGAAAATTGGTATTTCTGTCGCCAAAACGATCTATAGATCTATAGATACACAAACACCAACCATGCCTCGCAGACCTCATCAGAAACGGCAAAATCCTCTGTCAAAGTACAAACATTCATTATTTCGAAACGAGCGTAACCCAAATCAATTCTAAAGATGTACTTATCATCCCTGCAAGAAATACGAAAATCGAATCATCATGTGACATCGAAGGCATCTACGAAACATCCAAACCAAGCATTTTGTCAATGAAAAAATGCAAAATTTCAATAAATGGAAAATTCTTCCAAGCTGAAGACACCAACCATGAAGAATTTATCTTACCCAAAATAGAACTTCCGCACATAGAAATCAACTCAACAAATAAATCCTTCTACCTAAAACAAATAACAAGTGAAGACATTGATCATATCAACAGAATTGCAAATAATTTGGAAATCCCTGATTTAAGTAGCAGTTCAAGCACAAGTCACCCATGGATCAATACTTTCCTATTTATAATGGCAGTCCTCAGTACATCAGGCATCTTGTTCTACATTAAGATCTACAAACCCCGACGTCACCAAAGAAAATTGAAGCCACCCACAACTTCGCAGAAAATAATGAAACCCTTATTTTCCGATTTAGGAAGGGAGGAGTTATGTACTTAAAATTCTCTAAGACAATAAGTAATATAATCAATATTCTTTTTCTAGTATTTCCTAACGTAATTAAATTAATATTAATTAAACATATTTATGTATCCCTTGACACACCATTATTTGTATAAATATCAAATGCACTCTTGTAAGTTAAGTTAGTTTACTTAAAATCTCTGCTAGTGCAGGTTATTGTAACTCTAATTTCAAATAAATAGTTTAAAAAAAAACAAGTTTTCATTACTGAAAAACTTAATTCGTGTTAAGAAAACATTAGGTTGCCTTAACATCTATAATACGCTTATTTTTGAAATACGTTAAATGTATGTGTTGTTAAAACAACGGCTTATTATTTAATGTTTGTAGCCTGATAGCAAACAGCATTTTTAGGTAATATGTACTTCAGTATTAACGATGACCGTAATGTTAAGGCATCATTTTAAAGTAAAAATACAAAACTAAGTAGTTACCAAATCAGCGGATTGCGAGATTTTGTTATTTATGTGGTCTGCAGACATGTAATTGGGTACACTGAACCAAAAAGGTACCTTCGTAATATTAATAAAAAAATTATTTTCAGTATATTAATATATTTTTTTTATCAAAATTGTATTTATTTTAGCACTTGCATAATTTTATGTAAACAATTTTTTTTTTATTAATACAAAAGTAGGTACAGACCACATAAATAACAAAATCTCAAAATCCGCTGATTTGGCACTTAGACCGTTTTGCATTTCCACAAAAGAATTATTTTGACTAATGTAGCCTGAATTTCATACTTTTTATTTGATTGATGGGAAATAAAATGTGCATATAATATATTTAAACAATTTTATTTTATATAGGTACCCTATTTTATAGAATATACAAATTCAAAATGGACTAAATAAATACTCTTAGGCTGTAGTCAGAGCACCGTGATCGGCCGTATTTTAATACTGTCGCATACGGCCGATGCCGAACGACTCTGACCACATCTTTAAAACAGTTAACAAAAATACTACCTGTTGATCAACAATTGCTCCTGCACTTGGCTTACGCTTATTTTTGAAACACGTTAAATGTATACATATATATAAATATATTTGTTGTTAAAACAACGGCTTATTATTTAATGTTTGTAGCCTGACAGAAAACAGCATTTTTAGGTAATATGTACTTCAGTATTAACGATGACCTTAATGTTAAGGCATCATTCTAGAGTGAAAATATATTTTGTGTATACACAACTAACTTTCTAAAAAATTAATACTGACTTTTTTCAGTGTGTTTTTTGTATTTTCCAAAGTCGGGAAAACAGTGATCCGTATCACGAATTCTCACCCTAAGTATTGAGCTCAGGTATTTGAAGTAAGTCTGAATCAAATGCGCTATTCATTTTTTAGAAAAAACTACCTAATGATCGTTCTCTAAATTTCGACCTATTTATAGGTCTTAGCAGGAAAAATGAAAATTAAAAAAATTACCCACATGGTCAAATAGAGCTAATCGAGTCCCAAAAAAAATTATATTGGTCGACTCGTTTCAAAATAATGGGTCTTAAATCGCACACACTGTATATACAGGGTGTCCGCGATTTATAGTCGGACCTTATATAATAATAATAATATTGATGTTGCTATTCAAAATCCATTCATTATGTTCTCACGACTAGACACAACGCGGGAGCAATTATTCCAGTGGTTCCCAAACTGGGGGGCGTATAGAAAAAAATCTGTTTCTAAATAAAATTCAACTTTTAACAAAAATTTAAAAAGTTATTCATTCCTAAATAATAAATATAGGCATTTAATATTTAAATTTTTAAATTAGGAATTGGCGCGATCATATTGTTTTACCATTTTACCGCATCGCGCATGGTATCTAGGTCCCAAAGAACCTCTTTTAAGACTACATTAAAATACAGCGAAACAAGCGACGGTTGGTATTATGGGTAATTTGTGTTTTTTTGTGTTTTGTGTAAAATAAGTAAATATAAATGTTATTGCAAAAAAGTTCTTGCCAAAATTATCAGAGGGGCGTAAACATTTCTTAATATTACAAAAAGGGCGTCAAAAGAAAATAGTTTGGGAACCACTGAATTAAACGGAATATGGTGAAGGCTAGCCGCAGACCACAGTCTGTAGTCTACGACGGAGCGATCACCGTCTAAGCGCTGCATATTAAAATTTCGAGCAGGCAGACATCAAACCACATCAGGGTGCCCTACTACATGTGGTTCCACGTGGAACCACATGTAGTAGTTCTGGTGACATATATGGAGCAAGTATACTTGCCCCAAAATCACCATATAAACATTGTTTTTGTTTTCTTATGATATGGTGGGGATATGGTGCCTAATTAAAATATTATTCACAGGTGTAATTTTTGGTGATGTAACCTCAAAAATATTATCTTTAAAATCAGTGTTATAATCTATATATAGATACAAAACTAGTGCCAGCAATAACATTCTGTGTATTTGGAGTTGGAGATTCAATACTTGATACGTTTAAAATACCCATTTTTATTTGTTGTCTCAAATTTTTTTTTTGAATTTCTGACACATTTTTTAAAGGTTTTCTATACACACATTTTCCCTATATTTCGGGCTTAAAACATAAGCACTAGGTATTCTCTATGAACACAAGTAGAAACGGTCAGAACACAGTAAACTACTTACGACTCTACGCGGTAGAAAAGGATGAATTTATTTTTAAATTGTTGGTAACGTTAATCACGTGACAAGTAATATACTTAAATTTACCCTTAGTTACATTCTTGGTACATTTATATTAGATGTTTGTTGCAAGTACTTATGTCATGTTATAGGTATGTAACAATATATCAATGTGCAATATTAAAAAATAATATATCGGTAATATACCTCGTATGTTTTCAACGACATTATTTATGCGACCTAAACAGAACATCGCACGAGCTCACGTTATGTATCGTGCTAGCTGGGCGGACGCAACCCGAGAGAATTGTCTAGTCAGAACTTATATTGTATTTCTATTAAAATAAAGCAGTCGTATCTAATATCTCAAATTGTTTAAACTAAATTTATAAAAACTGAAGTAAAATTTATAAAAGAGTTTTTATTAAAAACAGTTCTTTAATTTGTATATATTATATTAGTCTTAATAATATTATATACATATAATTTAAATTGTAAAAACAATTAAATATACAATGAAAACAATTGTTTTTGCTCTCTAAAACAATAGTTTAAATAATAAACATTTGAAGGTATTATAAGATTTTTAGACTTATATTTAATTTCAGGTTCCTGATTTAAGACTGCTTTTTCCAAATGGATCCCTTGTATTTCCCCCTTTTTACAATGAGAGGTACAGACATGATGTTCATGCAGCAATTTATAGATGTAGGCTGAAAAGTGCACTTGGTATTGTTATTAGCAGAGAAGTACATGTTAAAGCTGGTACGTCAAACTTTTTTTAATACCCATATAGTGTATACTATACATACCGTAATAATTTGGTTGCTGTAATAAGATTGTTAAAATGATTTACTTTGTTTTATTAATTATGTTTTAATTTGTATATGAATAGACTTTTAAGAAACTGCATGGAGAACAATTGTAAATTAATTACTAAAGAGTTGTAATAAACTAAACAGTATTTAATTTATAATGTTCCGTAGGTACATTTATAAAATTTGATTAGTTTTGAAGCAGTTAAAGAACTAATTCAATAAGTCTAATTGGTCAGTATTTCTATGTTCACTATTGTGTTTAGAATGATAAGTTAAAGTTAATAAAATGTCAGCATTTATTAGCTGCAAATCAAAAGTAACATTAAGAAAATGACCAGTATGCAATAGTCGGTCCATACATTATCAAACATTATAGTCGGTCGATACATTATCAAACAAATTGTGCAACGCGCATCAATTTGCCGGGTAGTGTTTGATGCGTTTTGCAATTGTTTTATTAGCTCAAAAAATGTATAAAATATTTTGTGTAAAGGGAAAGATGCCCAACACGTTGGGTGATGTAAATATGTGTTGCGCTTAATTATGCAACACTTTTTAATTGTTGGCCGGTTTATAGTTGAACGGTTCACTTAACCACTATTCATAATAGAGAATTTTGGAGAAAATGTATTGAACTTTATAGATATTTACTTGAGGTATTAAAAATTAAAAGCGACGTTTATAAAAATAGATACGTAAAAGCTGCTACTTACGATAAGTTAATCAAAAAATTAAAGGAAATTGAAGCATGGTACTTCTCATACATAGATCGAAGCCATGTACTGCAAGACTGTAAGAAAGTGAAACTAATGAGGTAAGTAAATAACTTATATTTTAGATTTTTATATTATGTTATAATAATTGTTATTTATATTAACTGTGTTTACATTTTATAGACTGCATTTTTTGCTCCAGCGTTATTAAAATGCCTACAAAATTCCAGTCCAACTTTTTTCATGTAGGTACTATTTCTCCCTTGAGGTAATCCAGAGCAAGAACTATCCGGTCTCCAATATGCACTTATGAATCCCATGTATTAACATTTCCTATGTCCAAACCTCCTTGAAAATATAATTCCACGTTTTTACGCCATACAAAATTTTGCAAGGGTCAAATCACTCAGGCTACTTTAGTCAATTTTTTTTAACGATTACACTTTATTCTTTAGTCTATTTTAAAAGACTTGTTTTCAATAAAAAAAATTCTTCAAGTATACTAACGAGGATTTTTAGTTTTTCCAAAAGCAACTTTTTGTGGGAACGTTAATTACTTTTGCAAAAATAAATAGATTTAGATTTTTTTGAATTTGTTGGCAATTGTTTAATTTACATGACAAATACCGATTTTTCGAAGGATTTTTTTATCGGATATGCCATTTAATTATTATCCCTAAGCTTGAAATATTTGGCTTTTTGGAAGCGCTTTAGAAATTATTTTACTTATACTTATAAACTTATTTAAGTTAGTTTTACTTAAACAAATATTATAAATTACACTTCGCTTCTGAAGATGCCAACATCGTTGGCGAAAAGTACTTTAAGCACTTTGTGTTTTGTACAGTCATCAATATATCTGAGTAATAGATACCAGTATGTTTCCCCTTATCTTTACAATATTTATAAATTACATAGCCGACAAAATTTTTTGTGTAAAGCTTTTGTTCGCTGATGATTTAAAAATCTTTCTAAAATACGGAGTATTGATGACTGTACAAAACACAAAGTGCTTAAAGTACTTTTCGCCAACGATGTTGGCATCTTCAGAAGCGAAGTGTAATTTCTAATATTTGTTTAAGTAAAACCAATTTAAATAAGTTTATAAGTATGAGTATGAGTATAAAAGAGGTATAACCGTCCCCATTGCCTCATCGCTCCTGGACCTCGCACAGGCCTCTGTATTGATTGAGTATTGATTACTGTAAAATAAATTGTATAAGATTAAGACTGGTGCAAAAGGAATCAGTTAACGCAAATAAGTATAAATTAATTACATAGGTACACCAAAAAGAAGAATACAATTAATTTTGACTACACCTTAAATCAAAGTTTGCTTTCCCATTAAAGACCTGGGAGTATTATTTGATAACAAACGGAATTTTCTTGACCACATTAGTAATATAATATCATATGATAACAGAACTCTAGGTTTCATTATTAGAATCTATAAAAATCTTAAAGTCGAAATGGCTTTTTAAACGCTATATTACTAATTTGTACGCTCTAAGCTTAACTATGGTTTTCTAATTTGGAATCCTATATACTATATAATCATATAAATAATTTGAAGAAAACTGAACGCAGGTTTTTAAAATTCCTGTCATTAAAAATCGGTGTATATCAATTTCAGGGATATGACCACCTAAGTCTTTTAAAAGAATTTGGGTTCAGTTCCTGTATCTGAGAGGAACTATAATAAGTGTTAAATTTGTTTATAATTTTTTACATAACAAAATAGACGCACCTTTAATATTATATCAAATAACATTTTTAATACCGCGAAATTTCAGGGATATGACCACCTAAGTCTTTTAAAAGAATTTGGGTTCAGTTCCTGTATCTGAGAGGAACTATAATAATTGTTAAATTTGTTTATAATTTTTTACATAACAAAATAGACGCACCTTTAATATTATATCAAATAACATTTTTAATACCGCGAAAAAATCGAACCAACCTTACATTTTACTGTCCCAACTCTAGATCTAATATTATGCTTACCTCTTGATTAGTCGCACCCGGTGTGTGAAGCCGACGCAGAGACCGGTATTTGGACCTAAAATCAATTTTGTTAATTTTTCCTGCCAGATCTAAGATTTTGTCTCAAAGAAGTCAGATAACATGGCTATCTTTTTTGTGTAGTTGAAACTTGAATTAGCCGTCCCAGTCCGCTGTACCAGCAGCTATAAGCTAGCGCTATTTTACATCGTACCTCTTCGTTCGCGACACTCCACAAAAACAAATTTTCGCCGGGTTGTTTCCTATGTTAAAAGAGATTTTGGTGAAAGAAATTAATATGGATTTCGTCAATTAAGGTATTTTAAGCAACATTTCATTTGTGTTATAATCTTTATTTATTCATATCGAGTACTATACTTATACGTATACCTAAAAATGCTTATTTTTTCTCGTTTTTTTAATCAAACACTTATGTTTTTAAATATCGACAACAGCTCGCAATGGTATCCGACCTACATTTTATTGAACTTTAGGACATCTAGAATAACTGTAGCCATCAAAAACATCCACAAGTTTTCACATCAAGGAAAAATGTATCCTTGAAAACAGACACTTTAGTGCGATCTTATAAGATTTTTACGTAATATTTTTTATTTTTTAAAGGGAACAAAAACTTTAATATATGTTTAATTTTAATATTTTTATTGCATTACTTACATGTAAGTAGCTACTTTATAATTTTTTTATAAATAAATTTGTGAATACATATATTTTTTTTATTTCTAGTAAAAGTACCTACTATCACTTGTATACCTTTAAAAATATGTTTTTTAGTCATTTGCTACCCTTTTGATAAAGAAAAAGTGCCCAAATATTTTTGGCCACGTTTTAGGTCAAAATACCGGTCTGTGCCACGCTTTAAATTTTTTAACGTACTTCTTTAGCACATCGACTTTGCGCTATCCCCTCCTAGGTACCTTCCTACATTAGCCGTTCGAAGTTCGAACTTAAGTCTGAAAACGTTGGCGCATGAGTGTGATTTAATGACTTTATTTCGGTGCAGGAGACCGATGCGAATATTCACAACCTCTAAATTAGCCGTATAATTAGTACATAAATTAGTACTCAAAATTTGAACATTAATTAGTATTTCAACAGCGCACATACAGGTATTTTCACGATCTACGCGGCCAAAATTATTTTTATGCTTATTGGTATCTAAATAACGTAAATAAATAAAAAAACTTATTTTTACAACAAAATTATGTTTTTTACAAAAAAAAAATATATTTACAAAAAAATACAATTTTTTAGGTCGGTAAAAAGGAAGAAAAACATAATAATACTAAGTTTCTTGACTTTCTTCGTCGCTCTCTGATGAATTTTTTGATATATTGGATTCTGCACATACAAACATTGCCAAGGTTTTAGGCAAAAGTGTTTTTGCTTTCTCTTTTTTACTGTTTGCATGCTACTTAGTATAGGATCTGAACTAAGTAGAAGGCAGTTAAAAATATCCTGATTACAATTTACCCTGGAAAATTTTCTCGCAAAATCTTGGCGGTATTACAAAAATTAGAATGAAGTTCTTCCCTTTTTTTCCTTCGAACGACTTGGATGGTCGACCTGGCCGTTTTTGTGAAGTCTCAACAACAGGTATTTCCAGCCAAGGCCGATTGTATTTTATAAAATTATCTTCTTTATGAGCTTTGGTCCACCTTGTTAAATTTCCGATTTGAAATTGGCCAAAAACTAAAAATTTGGTCTTCATTATAACCTTTACATGACATACTCTCTAAAAATGAATTAGTCAAAAATGACTAATTGTCATAGCGAAAAAACATCCACTAATAATTCTCGTCAATAGCAATTTGTATCCCACATTCAGCAGTCAATTACCATGTAAAATTGTCCCCTGAATCCGAAAATGTCGTCAAAAGTTAGAAAAGTATAACATTTTTTGAGAAATAGTCAATTTTCCATATAATATGGAATTGACTATATCTTAAAAACTGCTCTACTTTTATTATTTTTGACGGTATTTTCGGAATTGTGATGGGCACGGGGTGGGGGTACCCCATACTCATGCAAACGGCAGTAACCCAAGGCGATTTGAAGAATCGCGCGAACTAAATTTAAATATTGACAGCGCAAGCAGTGTTGTCAAGTTTGGCCAAAAGAAGTGATCGTCTAGAAAATTGAAAGAGGATACCCTACGTTGTGTTATTTTAGTTCGCTTCTAGATAGGTGGAGTAGCCAATGAGAGGAGACC